AACGAAATTTGTGTAGATCGGGTGGATAAATTATTAGATACACTTAATGTTAAAAATTTAAATATGGAAGAAAAGGATTCAATTCATAAAATTTGTGCAAAATATGCCGATGTGTTTCTCTTAGAAAACGATCAAGTTACGGTAACTAACCTAGCTACAGTAGATATAAGGTTAAAGAGCGATGCTCGTCCTGTTTACGTCAAACCATACCGATTACCACATGCTCAAAAATCAGAAGTGAATAATCAAGTAGACCGCATGCTTAAAGATGGAATAATAGAGGAAAGTAAATCCGAGTGGTCTTCACCCTTATTAATTGTTCCAAAAAATTCTGGTGTCGAAGGTAACACCCAATGGCGAATAGTAATAGATTACCGCCAACTAAACAAACAAATTGAGGACGACAAATTTCCCTTGCCTAATATAACAGATATCTATGACGCCCTTGGTTCCGCAAAATATTTTACGCACTTAGATTTATCACAGGGATTTTATCAGGTGGAGTTAGAACCATCTAGTAGAACATTTACTGCCTTCACTACAGCGAAAGGTCAATTTCAAATGAAGAGATTGCCTATGGGGTTAAAAATTAGTCCCAGCGCATTTTCACGTATAATGACAATTGCATTATCTGGTTTAAACTATGAATCATGTTTTGTTTATCTCGATGACGTTATAGTATTTGGAAACACCTTAGAAAATCACAATCGAAATTTAGTAAAAATTTTACAACGATTCAGGGAGGTTAATTTGAAATTAAATCCATTAAAATGTGAATTTTTAAGAAAGGAAATAGTAGGTATACTTGGGTCACATGATTACACCTAAGGGAATTTCTCCTGATCCTAGTAAATTGGAAGCTATTCAAAATTATCCTGTACCAAAAAATGCAGACGAAACTAAGCGATTTGTTGCTTTCGCTAATTATTATCGTAAGTTCATTCCAAATTTCGCCAAAATTGCAACTCCATTAAATCGATTAACCAGGAAGTCTACTACATTTATTTGGGACGCATCTTGCCAGACCGCATTTGATAATTTAAAGCAAAAATTAATGGAACCGTCAATTTTAGAATTTCCAGATTTTTCTCCGGGAAATGAATTTATTTTAAAAACCGACGCTAGCGGATATGCAGTAGGTGCAATTTTATGTAATGGTAATCATAAGCCCGTTGCTTACGCCAGCAGAGCATTGAACCAAGCGGAAATCAATTACTCCACCATAGAAAAGGAGCTTCTAGCCATTGTTTGGAGTGTAAAGCATTTCAGACCTTATTTATTTGGTCGCAAATTTCACATTTTCACCGACCACCGTCCTCTAATATATTTATTTGGTGCAAACAATCCTTCATCCAGATTAACAAAGTTTAGACTTATACTTGAAGACTACCAATTCACGATTAATTACGTTAGGGGTGCCGAAAACTCAACAGCCGACGCGTTATCAAGAATAAAACTTGAATCATCAGATCTCACGAAGTTTTCAAAAAACATATTCGCAGTAACTAGATCCCAAACTAAGAATAAGTTGCAGAAGACTGAATCGAAGGTAACTTTTAATGATGAAGCTAATGAACGGATTGGCCAGCCGGTCATTGTCGAATTATTAAAACGACCCCGAGATGCAGTAGAGTTAAGAGCGATTAGTCGCAAAGAAGAAAATATAAATTTGAGTAGGTACGTGCGCAGGTTAGGTAAAGTATTTTTTTCACTACTAGCGTCTGATGACATGATTATTAACCTTTTTTCCACTTGTAAAGTAGGCTTTCTCGGCATTTGTTCAAAGTGGTTAATAATTTTTTATTATTAACTAGTAGTCAATAGTGAGAACTGTCACGCTGTCACTTTTAGAAAACACAACCCGAAATTTCGCTCAATGAACGTTTAGACAAGTTCTCTAAAACGAATAATTGCCACCATTCGCAATTTCCAGAGAAATTACATACCTAAAATTATCACATTTTGAAAAAATTCGAACGAAATTACTCTTTGAAAAATCTCAATGACAGAACAAAATACGGCCTGTTTGACTTGTACTTCCACGTACTTGATTGACATGTTAAATTAAGAAACAAAAAAATCTGTCCAACCGTTCACTCTCTTATCAATATAATATGTTAATTTAGAGGATTTCAAGTGCTAGTAGTGAAAAAAATAGTATATATACCACGGTAGAGAAGTCTATTATTGCCTTCGCACCTTACACCCCTCGGCGCAAGCGCCTCGAGATGTAATCTTGGTGCTCAGGCAATAATAGTGGACTTCTCTACCTTGATATATAATGTACTATTATGACATAAAAAATGAAGTAATGTATATAAAGCAATTTTGTTTATCATCTCATGCCCTAGACGCAGAGTTGAGACATTTGCAAATATTACCTAAGTATAGAAAATGGTATACCACAATTTTGTGTTTTTAAGGTTCCAGAAAATGAAGCGCTTCTCACCGAATTAGGTAAAAATGTAGAATTACTCAAACAATTGAACCTTAAAGTATGTGTTATAAGCCGCGCAGTACGAATCGATTGCAAAGAAACCCAACAATTAATTTTAAACGATTATCACGTTCTTCCAACGGGAGGTCATGCTGGTATTAACCGCATGTACGCAAATATTAAACAATTTTACTATTGGAGTAACTTAAGAGATGATATTGTTAAATTTATTCAAAAGTGTGATAACTGTCAACGTTATAAACATTCCATTCCTCATAAAGAACCACTAACGATCACAACTACAGCTTCGGAAGCATTTCAAAAAGTTTATTTAGACTTAGTAGGTCCGTTAAATCAAGATGTCGATAACAATCGCTACATTCTCACAGTCCAGTGCGAATTAACTAAATTTGTGGAAGCATACGCAATAGAAAATAAAGAGGCAAAAACAGTAGCTCAGGCGTTTACCAACAATTTCATATTGAGATACGAGATTCCGCGAGAAATCGCAACAGATCAAGGCACGGAATTTTTGGCAAAAGCATTCAAAGAAGCCGCCAAACTTCTAGGTATTAATCAAATTTCTTCCACGGTGTACCATCACGAAACAATAGGTTCTTTGGAAAATACTCACAAAAATTTAAATGCCTACTTGCGAATTCAAACATCAAAATTTCAAGATGATTGGGCAAAATGGCTACCATTCTGGAGTTTCGCATTTAACAATTCCATTCACACTGAAACCAAATACAGCCCGTACGAGTTAGTTTTTGGAAAACAATGCAAATTACCACATGATGTATTAGGACGTATTGATCCTTTGTATAATTTTGATAATTACGCTCATGAGTTAAAGTTTAGATTGCAAACTGCATGTAGCGATGCGAAAAATAATCTACTACAATCCAAAGCTAAAAGGAAAAATAGGTTAGATGTAAATTGTCGTAGTGTTACTTATAGATTTAATGATAAGGTATTATTAAGAAACGAAACCGGAAATAAATTTGACGAAGTTTATACCGGACCTTATAAAGTAATACGAGAGGACCCTCCAAATGTGACTTTGAAAATCAAAAATAGTTTAGTGCAAGTGCATAAAAACAGAGTGAAAAGTTATTTTAGTGATTAAAAAACCGTGTAAAGAATGCATTCGGAAAACGGATATTTGAAAATAGTGTTAAGTTAGCTCAATTCTTGTAATTATAACTAGGTAGGTAGGTATAGTGTATAAGTTAGAGGTAAATGAATCATGTAACAATAGTCGGTATGTAATCGTAGTCGTTCACATTTATGATGTAGGTCACTATGCCATTTATAATAAGCATTATACTTAGTCGGAAAATTTTAATTCAATAGGAATCAAAATTTTCTTTAGGAAAAGGAAAGGTGTAATGAATTAATACGGTCATGACGTCCAACGTTGTGACGTCATATATGATCGGTTGATTAGTACTTATACTTAGTAGTAAAGTAGTCATGATAGCACCGCGAAACGCACTTCTTGTGCGTATTGTGTGCTCCTAAATAATGTTATAGTAAATTAGGTATAAATGTGTGAGTTTTATTTATTTAATTTTCCCTGAGACCAGACATTATTACAACAGTTTAGAACTGGTACAATCAGAGGTGGAAAAGTAAATCAATTTCAACCTATGTTTAGAAAATTTCCATATATCTACAAATGCGATCTATGTTCCAATAATTCAGCCTAAAGAAGTGAGAAGTTGCCCGCCTAAATTATTCTCATAATCTAAATTTGAATGTGAGGCCCTTACACCTTTAAACAAAGTGCATCTCGGTTACGTAAGGACCACTCTTCTGCTTACATAGCAAGATGCAATTATCGGAAACAAATAAAACCTATCCGGCCCGGCTAGGGTGGGGCTGATAGGCCTCTCCATCCATTGGCAAGGTGTGCTCAATGACAAATAAAGTATGTCTCTTACAATGAAGCAAGTTACGGTCTTTTACGGAATCTTTAAAATTAATTCTACAAAATTTAATAAGTACGAACCCACAACAATAATAAACCGCGTATAAAGCGGATCTAGAAAAGCGGTGTAGCGGTCTGACTCAGCGGGTCCATTAGATTTGACCGATTTTCGATAGAATTCTTACATGTGTCAGCAAGCACCGGTGTTTAATATCACCATTAAACAGGAAAGGGCGCTGGCCAAATATTAGAGAAATAGTTAATTGGGAAAGAAAGTAGGATTAAGAAATAAAATTACATTGCATTATTTGTACCTAAATGAGGACAATTTGCACACAACATTGACTAGGTTAGTTTTCAATTTGCAATTAACAGATTGCAATTAATTTGCCAATTGTTGTATAAAATTTTGTATATAAACAACGTAAAATGTAGAATAAATTACTATTGACACAAAAGTCGTTTAGTCACTCTACGTGAGCACGGGGCTTCCAAGTCTTTAAAATTCGGTGCATGAGACTGTGTACCACCCTGTGCTTACACTAAATAATATTGGGAGTAATCTCAATATTGTTCATGGTCCATGTGTTCGGGTTTTTTCTGGTGGCAGAGATCACGGTATACGTGATTATGAAAGTCACCCCAATTCCTATAAAAATTGAAAATTCTACGTTTTGGACCTTAAATGTCAATGAAGAAATGCTAGCTGTGGACTACAACAATCAACTATATTTCGAAATATCAAATGAAGAATTCAAAGACTGCCTACAAACAAACAAACACAATTTTATATGTGCTCCCACTATGGTGAAGAAAATAGAAGAAAACAAAAATTGCATCATTGACGAAGTCTACAACAGAACAGAAATTAACCAATGCAATATACAACAACATGAGATTCAAGGATTAATTTGGAAGCAACTCTATGCCACCAATACTTGGATGTTCATCACTAATCAGTCCACACGTATCGCTATCTCCTGTAGTGGCGAACGACAGGAAATCACGATCAATGCCACTGGAATTATCAGGATTTCACAAGATTGCCTGTTGAAAACAAAGAAAAGTATACTCAATCCGAAACGGGATAAAAAGTTATCAGTACTAGGTAGCTACATAAAACAGTTTAACAAACCATATAATCATACAAGGTCAACTCAGCAAATAACCAAAGTAATAGAAGAATCAATATTCCATGCAGAAGACTCTTTTAAACAGCTAAAAGACGAAGAAGAAACTCTTAATGCAGATATTCGAAATATCAAATGGCGGTCCACAACATCACAGTCCATTATTACAAGCACGACAACTACCTTACTCATTGCAATTATCTTGGCACTCGTACTAGGAATAAGATTCTACATCCAGCACAGAAACAAATCACATACCAAGGACAACGATCACGAAGCAGTTCAGTTAGAACCATTATATTCAACTATTCTCGGGGAAACACAAAACTAAAAGATAGATTAGGGCGCGGCTGGCAGAATGTTTAATATCACCATTAAACAGGAAAGGGCGCTGGCCAAATATTAGAGAAATAGTTAATTCGGAAAGAAAGTAGGATTAAGAAATAAAATTACATGGCATTATGTGTAAATGAGGACAATTTGCACACAACATTGACTAGGTTAGTTTTCAATTTGCAATTAACAGATTGCAATTAATTTGCCAATTGTTGTATAAAATTTTGTATATAAACAACGTAAAATGTAGAATAAATTACTATTGACACAAAAGTCGTTTAGTCACTCTACGTGAGCACGGGGCTTCCAAGTCTTTAAAATTCGGTGCATGAGACTGTGTACCACCCTGTGCTTACACTAAATAATATTGGGAGTAATCTCAATATTGTTCAACCGGTGAAGCATATACAGTGAATTTTTTTAAATGCGAACAAGGGAGTTTGTATGCAATGTAATTTCCCTATGTTCGATTTAAAAAAAAACATCAATCTATTGAGTAGTTCAAATGAGTAGTAGATACAATTGACAGCTGTCACATTTTTAAAAATACCGCCGTCCAATTTAATTACGAAATCGGTTAGGTTATTGCTTAGAATGTCAAGGAGGACACTTCGAACATTTATTGTAATTGTTCGCCTTATTTATTTTCTTATTTTCTTCATTTATGTATTGAATACATCAAATTAGTAGAATACCAGGTGCACATGACCTACAAATAATTGAAGGTTGGTTCACAATGAATTGTGATGTCAGCGCGTGCCATGTGAAGTCAAGTTAACGTGAGTTTAAGAAAAATTTATCCTAAAGTTGCTATGGCCTCACATGGCTTAATTAAAAAAAATCTTACCGAGTGCTCTTCATCATAAAGACTATGAATTGCTGTTCTGACAAATTGCGCATTTTGGGAATGTGAACCGCGCACATCTCATAGATTGATGTGTTTTTTTTTAAATCGAACATAGGGAAATTACATTGCATACAAACTCCTATGTTCGCATTTAAAAAAAACTCACTGTATGTATGCTGGTATTGGCACCAATAGTTACGTTTTCTCCCCTTACAAAATTATGGATGTTCATTAAATGGAGTAGGTACAGACTATATTTTTCTCTCTCTGCTTTCAGAGCCAAATTTTCTCGCAAATGTTAATGGAAAGTGTCTATACCGATATCTTGCTCCTATTACATACCGCATGGAAATGTAACAACTATAACCTGCCAACGCCAAGATTTAAAAGTTCCGCAACAATAAGCGATTACATCAGTTCTAACTCAGCCTTTTTATGACAATTCATTTATTACACAAGACTGATCTATGGAACGTGGAACCTATTCTTGAATAACATAATACTTAAGAACTACGTACATCATTTATCAAATGAAAAAGTTCTAAATTTGTATGATAGGCTTGCTATGCACTGAAAAGGAAATAAGAATACTCTTGTTTCTTTCAATTATCGGCAGGATTTTGAATGTTGATGGGGATGAAATAAATATGCTACCTAATCAATAATTTTGAATTCAATTCGATCTCAACTTGGTAGAAAGACCACTGTCTGCAAATAGCACACTTTCGCAAAGCTCGGCATCTTGTAGACTCAGGTGTAGACTACATACATCCTAAACGCCACGAAAAACAAACACTGCAATCCAGAATAATAAATTAATTAATAGAGCCTAAATCGATTTGCAAGTAAAACCACCGCAAGGCACGGAACACATTTCACACACACAATATTTGATATACGATTTACATCATCTAAAATTTGTGTAGTGTAAGATTATTTCCTTCCTACCTATATAAATTAGGAACAACCACGAGACGTAATGGAAAAGAATAGCCCTATAGATAAATCGTAATGGACTTCCGCTTCGGTGTAATAAAATACCTATAAAGGCGAAACCGATCGCCTTATAAACTTTTATGAACAGTCGAGCTACAAGTTAATTGGCTTGATTGCATTATGATCTCATAAGGTCCTTTATTTCAGGCAGTATCGCCCTGTTTCGCATTCAATAGCGCAAAAATTGGATAGTAATGCGCATTCAGGCTGGCTCATTGGATTTCGATCTCAAAATCGATGAAATGAGATGCAATAGGAAATCCGAAGCAATAAAAGGAATTCATTCCAAATGCGGGAGTACGAATAATGAAATTTGTAAAAGTAAACAGTATCTATATATTAAGTTCCATATTATAAGTTCTATGACGAGCGTTCCTTCATCTTACTCCACAGCATTACGTATTTTGGTTGTTACACAAGAAATTCGAACTGCCAGTTTTTTTTTAATTTCAGGTTCTTGTTTAGATTTAAGTTTAAATGTTGGACACTTGTTACGAACAGAATGTGCTCCATTTTCCGCGACTCATTTTCTGAGGCGATTTAACGTATTGGACACAGATTCGCCAGTGTAATAGGGTTTGATAAGAAGAATGACTCTCCACATCCATCTGACAACGTATCTATAGAGCTTTGCTCGTTGTCAATGGTTTGATATATCTGGTTAATAAAATGTGTTTTTGTTTGCTGCTCAGTTTTCAGTCGCTTTGAAAATTATCTACAATTGATGATTGTATTTATTGTATATTCTCCTAGACACCTAACTAAAATATTCATTAAGTTAACCTCGAGGTTAACCTAAGCTATGCTATGAAGTGAAATAGAATTGTTAAACGGGTAATGTAATTATTTAGTTTACGATATTGAGAGGCTTTACCTTTGAAGAAGCCGGGGTTTTGTTAGTTGTTCCATTTGCACCCACAATAATACTTGTAACTTGTAGGATGTAGAGTTCGATAAAGAACAACAATCAAAATATGAAGTAATTTTCTTATGCACCGTATAAACAATGGCAGATTACACAAAAGACACAAAAGATCTAGTGGTCCAAGTATTAGGGGACCGTAGGTGAAATTACAGTAATGAAGGCAAAAGATTACTGCTCCAAAATTGGATCATTACCAGTTGTGAGTAGGTAGTTTAAAAAAAAGTGGAAAAGAGAGGAAGAACTTGTCGGGGCACATTCCCTTTGTCGGTACCCACTTCTGACATCCCGTTCACCCGCAATTTGCATTTTTATGGATTTCGCAAAAAACCGTCCACCAAAAAGTACATTTTTGGGTACTTCTCATAGTTCGAGCTTCTATTGGCGACACGAGAAAGAGAAGCCACTATTAGAGCTCTAAGAAACTTTTGGGCGCCCAACGCCGACTACCCCTTGAAGACGCGCGCCTTGCAACTTGGTTAATTTCGCTCCTAGGACAAAAAACAAAATTCCGCTACGCAGGAGTTGTGCGCATTTACAAAACCTTTCCACCGACACGACACCAATTTGAAAACAATCGGACCAAAACTGTAGAAGATAGGAAAAAACTTAAAAATCTCCAGGTTAGTGTAACACGATCGGGGATGGCGCCCAGGTGTCGCCGACCTCGCATCACGTAGCCCGGTCCCTAAAGTTGGTAATTACACGGCCACGGTAGGTACATGTACCAGGCAAAGTGAGATTAAAAGCTATCTTTTTACGAATAAATTTACAAAAATGCGCTAAAAACAACACAACTGTATGACCACACTGTATCTATAGAGTGAACTGTATACATCGCTACTGCGACGGTATAAAGACAGTATGGCCATATGCACCATGTCCGCCATGGTGTTTTCAAATGTATCATTAACCTAATCTAATTGGTTTAACCAAATTTGTGATTTTGGTATGGGTACAATACTATTAGTGTGGGCATTAAATAATAAACCAGATTCTTTATTCAATGGTCTGGGAGATTTGGAAAAAAGTTCTCATTTTTGAGTAAAGTTATGAAAATATGCTCTTTGACCCTTCCTCTTAAAGTTCAGAGGTGGCGCCACGCTGATTTTCTCCTGGAACCCCCGATAGGGGGGGGGGTTGCATACACAAATATGGATTGCTAATGACTGGACCACTTTTTTCGACTCTACTAAGCTGCATTGTTTTGAAAACACGTTTAGAATACTTGAGATCGACAGGTAAGCCTATAGCGGATAGCCCATACGAGTTGATGTTGCCTACCCAATCAGATGCTAACAAGCCGATTTTTAGCGCATTTTTTAAGAATTAAAAAAATGTGCTATTGTTTGCGTTTTGTCCGTCCGTCCGTCCGTCCGGACCCACTTCTACCGTTTTGAACTACTTCTAGGGGAATGTCCCTAGAGTCCTGGAATTTTTTGCAGTAGGTAGCCTATACCTTGAAGGTGTGCCAGACGGCCATCAAATTTCGCTGTCTAAAAAGGTGATGTCAAAACAAAAGCTATTTCGTTAAAAAAATGCGCTTTATCTGCACAAGAGTAGTGCACAATTTACACTTGTTTTTAGCTCCAAACTCACATACTTAATTAGCGGCAAAAGTAAGTATGTAATTAATTAATTTAATAAAGCGTTTATGGCAGTATACTCTGAGCCTTTTCAGTGCGGGTACATAATTTAATTTATGTCTAGAGGGAGGGGGGCGTCAGTTGCAAAGGGACCAACACGGTAAATGTTGCTGCATGCATTTACATCGTGCTTATTTTCGGTCCATTTGTGTGTCCGTCTCTCATTTGGCCCACTCGGATGGATCGGGTACTAATTGCTGATCCTGTAAATTCAAAGTCGCACCTAAATTCAGCATCAAAATCTCTTTGTTCTGGAATAGACTTTTCAGTTATTTGTCTGTTATACAAAGATCTGAGATTTTGAAAAGATAACCTGAAAGAAGGTGCCTCAGAAGAAACCGCTCTGGTGGGTAGCACGAAGGACGTAACTACTTACATGACTTCTTCGGGAATTGTAATCCAAATAAAAAGGTATCCGTACACAAAAACAATTTTCAATAAACACACTTTATGTACGACCGCTTGATAATGCGGTGATTACAGTCGCAATTAGTGGCCATAATTTGCAATATTATGGCCTAGTCCATAATGATAAAGTAAAACGGCCACCTGTCAATGTGACAGTCGTACTTAGGTGTCAATCC